GTACTTTGAACATCGAGAGATTGTTAAACGATGAATGCCAAATCAAACACGTCTCTCCTAATAGCTTAGTTTGATGTGTATATTGATTAAATGAAGGGTTGTTTTACTTTTATAAACATTGTAAACCGGCATTATCATTTTTTACATTATTTTCTCATTAGCATGGTCACCACCTATATTTTTTTTTATCAAATTGAATTTTCAAATCAGTCACTGAAACTCAGTGAATTATGAAATGTGAAGCGCTTTCTATAGAATGATGTTTTTTTCATCTAGTCTCGAGCATGGGACAAAGAAAAAATTCTGAGTCTCCATGAGGAATGGAACGTAGCTCAGACCTTCGCATTCCGATACTTTACCACTGAACCACAGAGACTCTATGCTGAAGAAGGCCCATTACGAATTTCATATATGACATGCATCCAATGTCGAGAGGGTCAAGTGTGTAGCTTTCTATTACTAATAGCAATGGAATGGATGACTGCAAACAAATGCAAAACTTCAATTTATCATAATTTCAGCCACAATTTTACATGTACTAGGTAATTATCTCAAATCTAATTTTCTGTTTGTTTCAGGAATTACACTGATGGCCCACTCAACCATTGCCCTTTTGGTAACTCTTTCTATATCTGTGGCTCTGTCAGAACTTTTGATCAAAGATAATGTCTGGCACTCATGGAAAGAATTTCACAGCAAGAAATATGCTTCAGATGATGAAGAAAGCTTGCGCTATACCATCTGGAACGAAAATATGAAGACTATCACGAAACATAATGCGGACCCAAACAGCAAATTCACCCTTCAAATGAACCATTTAGGAGACATGGTATATCAATTTCTATAAACTATGAATTTAATTATTAAAGATGATAATATGATACACAAAATTGAAATATGTGCAATTATTTTTTTTTCCTGAAATGTCAACTTTCCAAATTTACCATTAGTAGACACTGTTTGTCTAACAACAACTTATGTCTATTTTGATTGTGTTTCTATATACTAGACAACCAAAGAAGTTCATTTGATTATGAATGGCTACAACAAAGCTCTCAAGGACACAAGGAGCAAAGAAGGTCCATCTACATTTCTGCCACCAAGTAATACTAAGCTTCCAGACAATGTTGATTGGAGAAAGAAG